GCTGATGATGCACCTGAGCAGGTAGTACCTCGTCGTAGTGGGAGTGTTGTTCGGCAACCCGAACGGTTCATGGGTCAGGGAGAGTCTTCTGAGGCCGTCCCGGACGTTCTTGAATCCGACCCATGGACATACAATGAGGCACTCCAAGATCGGGACGCAGAGTCTTGGCAAAAGGCGATGAAGTCTGAATTAGAGTCAATGGACACTAATCAGGTCTGGGATCTTGTAGAGCCACCCAGTGGCGTTCGAGCCATTGGATGTAAGTGGGTCTATAAGAGAAAGAGAAGATTAGATGGGAAGGTTGAGACCTTCAAAGCTAGGCTTGTTGTGAAAGGGTACACTCAGAAAGAAGGGATCGATTATGAGGAAACTTTTTTGCCGGTAGCCATGCTCAAATCCATCAGGATTCTCTTGGCTGTGGCCGCTCATATGGATTATGAGATTTGGCAAATGGATGTTAAGACCGCTTTCCTTAACGGGAATTTGGACGAGGACATCTATATGCAGCAACCAGAAGGATTCATTGCAAAGGGCCAAGAGCATCTGGTCTGCAAGTTGAAGAGGTCCATTTATGGGCTGAAGCAAGCTTCGAGGTCTTGGAACATCTGTTTTGACGAGGTTGTCCAATCGTATGGATTTACCCAATGTCCGGATGAGCACTGTGTGTACAAGAAAAGTGATGGAAACGTGGTGGTGTTTCTAGTGCTGTACGTGGATGATATTCTTCTCATTGGAAACAGTGTGAAGATGTTGTCAGAAGTAAAGGTGTGGTTATCCAAGCAGTTTGATATGAAGGATTTGGGTGAAGTAGGACACGTTCTCGGAATCAAGGTTATTCGCGACCAAGAGAAGAGAAAGTTGTGCCTATCCCAATCCACATACATAGACACTGTCCTAAAGCGTTTCAACATGCAGGATTCCAAGAAAGGGGAATCATAAGTGCTGATTCATGTTTCAACAGTATATTCTCTAATGGTTGTCATTTTGTCACTGTCATGTGCAGCTTCAAACACCACCAACTCTCTCATAGCCACCATCTTACTAGTGCCTTTCCCATTCTGAGATGAAATGTTAGCCCCCTTCTTCCCAATTTGATGTTGTTGAACTGAACTGGACTCTACCCCTGGTGAAAATGTATTTCCTCCAACTGTCTCCCCTTCTTGTGTATGAGTGGCGGTGCGAGTCGACCCTGGCACTCTTGTATGCTCTGAAGAAGAACTGCTTTTTCCACCCTTGCCCTTGCAAGCCATCGGTTGCTCTCATCCACTCCCCAAATTGGCCTTCCCTTAACATATTTTCACCCACACCCCTTCTCTATGTGGCCCACTTTTTCGAAATAGAAGTACAAATTCACCAATCTTTCATACTTGAATGTAACCGTAACTACCTGATCACCCAGTCGGATTGAGGCACACCGCGGTAAGGCTTCCTACAAGTCCAATGTTACAATTGCTTGATCAGTCTACCACCATCAGTACCCAGATTGCTAACTAAAACATTGAACACGAACTTGAAAACTTTTCCTATTTTCAGGCCCACCTCCAATGTCAGCCAATTCAGCGGAATATGATGGACTTGAACCCAACATTTAAGCTCATTAAAACACATATCTTTACTACTCAGCCCTTCCTTCCAACCTTTAGCGATTAAATATTGTTTATCAAAAATCCAGTTGATTCCTCCTGCAACTCTTTTCGTATCTTCAACATCTTCAAAAATAAACTGGAAAAATTCTTATCTAATTCACGAACTTCCATCGATGCCTTTGGTTTCCAAATAAGCCCCACCGCTCTTTTCACCCCTAACAGATGTGCCTTCTTGTCACCCACCACTTTCCCGAACAAGCTCTTATGACATTCTTCGACACTATTTTAGACATCTTCTGATTGAATATCGATAATATTGTTCTCCCCCCTCGATAAGGAGGAAGTCCTAAGGCGCTGCTCAACTTCCTCTGTCGGATTGTCCGCCCGACCGTCCGCCATAAACCTTACCACCGAAATCGCAAAGAAAACACTAATACACCACACCACTAATTTCTTCAAGCAAAGCAAAGAACAGTTAATGAGAGATCAAAGCTAGATGATAAGAGAAAGAAGCTCTCCGATGAGAGAGAGGAACTCTCCGTTGAGAGAAGAAAGAAGATGATGGTTGTTATGTTACTCTCAAAAGTAATCTCACAATATATATATATATATATAAGACTTACTATTTTTCAAAAATGGTAGGTCAACCTTGGTCAAATTTTAATTAGCATTAATTACTTACCATTTTTAGTAACTTTTTTTGTTTTTCATTTTTCAAATAAAATCATGTTGCCCTTAAATTAGGGAATTTCTTACATTTTTTATTTGAAAGTGTGCGAGTGGGCAGGCGGAAAAGTTTGGTAAATTTTGTAGCTTTTTTTTTTTTTTTTTAATTATGATTAGCGAATTGAGATGGTTGGATTGTGTTTTTTTTTTGGTGGCAATATGGATTTATTTTTTTTCATTTTTATTGATTATTAAACTTCATCTAAAAGTTATAAATGAGACAACTATATATCTATATATAATAAGAATAATCATTTACCGAAAGTAACAACAAAAAAAATCGGAGAATATTAATTACATTCATTATTAAAAATTTATATTCAAATTTGATTTTTTTTTTAAATCCGGCATCGTAAAAAATTGTCTGATTTCGTGGGTTTTTTAATAATTAAATTTCAAAATCAACCATTAAATTTCTAAGTCATAAAAAATCGACAATTTAATCTCAAAATTGTCAAGCATCTAATCATTCCTTAAGTGAAGTATTCTGTAAATTTTCAGACACTTTAGTATAAGTTAAAGTGTAATTTAGTGTATTATAATATTCCCCAATTAAAAACAATTAATATTCATAATTTAGAAAATCTCGATTTTCATGTCATACAATACTATTTTTTTTCATCATATAAAAATCTCAGTTTCATATAATTCAATCCAATTTTTTATTTTTATTATTTTTTTTTATTTTATCTTCCACGGCATTGGCTTGCATTTGGTAACTCTGCCGCTACATTTAGTAACATAATTTCATAAATCTATGCATGTATTTGTCAAAATATATTTTTAAGTTACAAGATACAATCGTGATAAAAAAAAAAAGCTTCTTTTACGGTGAACCATAATTAATATATATTTAAGGTAAATATCAACATTTATTGAATAGGAGACATGCATTGTGAATCAATTTTTTAACAGAATGATAAGATAAATATTTTATGAAATACAAATTGCAGTCAAAATTGGAAAAACTCTCAATTGTACACGTGCATTTTAAACATGAGATAAATTTTCATTTGTATTAATTTTTGAAATCCAAATAAAAGACACAATACAAATCCAAGAATTTGTTTGGTACTTCAAAAAACAAGTGAAATTCGAGCAAAAAACATAAAATCAACCGTTTTAACGTGATTGCCGAAAATGTGTATCGTTAATTGAAAAGAAAAACATTTTATTCACAAGGTTAAATTGTCAATCATTCTTTATAATCGAACGAAATAGAGTTAAGGTAAAACAAAGAAATGTGCAGGTGGATCTTATGAAAACCCTAAAAAGTCAGAAAATTTTGCCTTTTATAGGTGAAATGAATTGTTCACGACCTTTAATCATTTTGACCGATTTCGATCGTCCAATCACCGACTTCGTGCATTCAGGTTGTGTTAGTGTATATACTGAATGATTGACTTTTTTCGTTATTTATACTATTTTCTGTTGAACGAGAATTGCGTTTAACATAAAATATTTTACATACTTCTTACATATAAATGTTACCCTACATTTTTACTTTATAATTATTAGTTAATATTGTTTACTCTCATCTATAATTTTTTTTTTTTTGGTACAGGGACCTTCCGATTTCTGGATCCACAGGAGAACCGACTAATCCGGAATCGAGCCGGGTAGGACCACAAGGGCGACAAAGTTTTCTTCAAGAGTTTTAACACTGCTGCATTCTCAGAGCTCGTACACGAGAACACTGGTTAAGTTGGAAGAGACTCAAGTCATCTCATCCAAGCGCTCTTAGATACTCATCTTTAATTTTTAATCAATAATATTTTCTCGTGTATGCCATGAGTAGGCACTAGTTGAAGTTAAAAGACAATTTTTTTCTATCCGGCTCTTGAGGGAGAACTTTGCC